CGCCGCGGCGCTTCCGCCGCCCGGTCCGTTCGATCCTTCGACGCGCCTACCGAGAAACGACCACGAATCTCCTCCTCTTCCTCCTCCTGTCTCTTCTTCTCTTCCCTTCGGTTCCCTCTTCTTCCTCGCTGACCAGCCCCCCTCCTTCTCCTGTTCCTCCTCCTCTTCGGACAAGCGGCCCATCAACGCATCCCGCTTGGTCATTGTCGGTTCGCCGGCCGCATCGACGCGGAGGGTGTGCTCGCCACGTATTTACACGGTCCGGATTTACGCGGACGTATGACGCACGCAGCCATCGAGGCAAATCCTGTCCTTCCGTTTTCCGTTCTTGCTTTCTACCGTACCGGTCGTACCGGCGCAGCGCGGCGCAGCACGGCGCGGCCCGAGTCCACCTACCCCCCGACTCTCGTCGCCGCTTCCGCGAAACCGAGACGAGTTCGAGGAGCGTTCGAAGTTTGCGGAACGGAGTCGAGACGGCGGAAGAAGATTCGGAAAAGCCGGATTTCCGCCGGTTCCCCGTCTCGAGCGAGAAACGAAGGAGCGAACTCGATCTCCGTGGCTTCCACGAGTGGATCTCGCGCGCGCTAAACAAACGGCACACCGCGGTCATATCAATATATCGTTTTCGAAGTGTGTCAGGGTGATAAAATATGCTCGCGTCGTTAACGTCCTATGGGCGCGTGCACTGCCCTTGACGATCTAACTGGACGTCGTCGGTCGGTCGCCGAGCGCTCCCGTATTTCCATGCAATTTACCTTTTGCGTTTCACGCAGACATCAAAAGTCCGTGAGTGGCAATTTGCTTAAATCAAAGTTCGTGTTTAACCCATTAACTACCGTCGCGCCGGTGCGCTTTATTTGTCGAGGTTGATCGACGCTCGATGAGGATTCGTTTCTGCTTGTTCGCCTCTGTTTACCCGCGTCCGACGACACGTATCTTCTCTTTGACGAGCGTTCGCCGCTCTTCCCTTTCCACCGGCTCGTCCCGCGTCTTTCCGCATCGACGCGACGCGCGAGCTTACGAATTTTAAGCGCGATTGGAAACGCGCGTCGCGCGCCGACGCGTC